GAATTTGTAGGTTCCTATAATATTTTTTTATAATTTTACTTGGTGTAAAGTTCATATTTGGCTCTTTGGGTTATAAGTTAGTCGACCACTGTACTAGTATAAATATAGTGATTTTATATGTTATTTGTGTGAAAATATACAAAATGTTGAAATATGTTACTGTCAGACGCGCGGCAGTGGAGGTGAAGAACAAGAAGGGTAACTCCCCGCTGTGGCTGGCGGCCAACGGCGGACACCTCGCCGTCGTGGAGATGCTGTACGCCGCCGGCGCGGACATCGACTCACAGGACAATAGAAAGGTAAACCATACATACAAACATACATCCAATACGACTTAGGGTCCTTCAAGAAGCGAGCCTATCATTTCCTCAAAGGCCGGAAACGAATCTGTAGTTCCTCTGGTGTTGCGGATGTCCATGGGCGTCGTTGACCACCTTGGTGTTCACGCCACTCGTTTGCCCCTTTTATCATAACAATAATAATTATAATACATACATACATACATACATACATACATATGAAACATTATGTAGTTTTATCTAGCTTTGCAAAACTTCATCTAAACTATATTATTTAATCAGAGCAAGTAAATCAACCACAAATGTCAAATTTTAACATAATGTTGGTTAGCTTTTGCTGAGCAGTGCACCTATGATACCGGTTTATTTCGTAACTTTCAACTCTATTAGACGCTAGAATTAATATAAAAAATTACCAAAAACACTAGCTTTTATAAACATTTTAGTGAATGCATGAACGTGATGAAAAACACCTATGACTAGTTTTATCATTTTTAATTTGCTATTAATAATAAAATATGTTTTGCAATTATTTGGTTACACGATAACTTCTTAAGTATACAAAAACAATATTTGTTTACGTTTTAACGATAGTGACACATCTGGGTACATAACTCTTTAAAAACTTCAAAAGGCCGACAGCACTCAAAGTGTAATTTTACTCGCTCTGATAAAAAAACTGACGGTAGTTTGAATTATTTGTCTTATTTTTTTAATATGTGTAGGTGTCGTGCCTGATGGCCGCTTTCCGTAAGGGCCACACCAAAGTAGTCAAGTGGATGGTAGGAGTCGTCACTCAGTTCCCCTCCGACCAGGAAATGACCAGGTAAATTATTTATCCTACGTAGACTCTAGCTATCTTAAAAGTTGCAATATTGCAGTCTTCATTTTGATTTGGTGTTTTTTATCTTTATTGTTAAAATCTTACTGATATTAAAAATTTGGAAGTTTAGATGGATGGATGTTTGTTAAAGTTTGCAGCCTAAACTGCTGATCTGGTCACGATGATATTAACACAGACTACTCACTTTTGTTTTTTTTTTTAATCCCATACGGACGGAGTCGCGGGCGAAAGCTAGTATAAATATATTTTTTTGTATTTACTTTACTAGAAATATAAATTTTTGATGTGTCTTCAATCAGACATAACATAGGTTATGAAAAAGCCAGCGACATACCCATGTTTGAATGTTTCATAGCATTGTTTTTTGTTTTAACCGTAAGTGTTGTGTTAGGTACATCTGCACGATCTCCGACAAGGAGGTGCTGGAGAAGTGCCAGGAGTGCGTGCGCGTGATCCGCGCGGCGAAGGAGACGCAGGCGGCGCGCGCCAACCAGAACGCCACCATCCTGCTGGAGGAGCTGGACGCCGAGCGCTGCCGCGAGGAGACGCGCCGCCTCGCCGCCGCGCGCCGCCGCGAGCGCAAGAAGAAGAAGAAGATTGAGAAAAAGGTAACAACTGTAAGAACATTTTCACATTATCTTTACTACTAATACTATATATAACAGGGGTGGCGAACACTTTTTTAAAGAAATTTTTAATACCGTCTTAGATGTGCCATCGAATAATTTTGACTGCGATTATTACGTCAATTCCATAGTGAACCCTCTTTTTTCGTAATTTTTTAATGATTTTCAACGTGTTCAAAATATGCCATTTGAAGCACGATTGCCAGTGGTTTGCCACCCCTGATATTAAATTACAAGGATCTTATGTCCGTTTTTTGACAGAGGGCAGCGCCTGCTAGTTTTTAGTGTTACCAATAACCATCGCAATGTTGAAAAGAAAACCAAGTTATATGTTATTTTATTTTTTACCCGTGCGGTTGCCACTCCTTCATTTGTTAAAATATGACGCTTCCAAGATGACATTATTAGCTCACAAAATTACCAACTGCCGTAGGATCCTTGTATTTTTTTTTTAAATAAAACAGTGTAAAGTTAATGAAGTAGTTACTTTATGATTCGATTCAAATTCTACTATACTTGATACTAATTGTACAAACAATATTCGATTTGAGAACAAACTACGACAGAGTCGTTTTCTAAAAAAATACATATAGATAGTAAATGATATTTAATATCTTTTGACTCAGTACTAGTGAAATCTAGTTTAAATTTTTTTACAATACAGTGATACTATGATACTATGATCGTAAAGTTTAAATTAACTATACAGGAGGAAAGACGGAAGCTGCAGGAGGAGAACGACAAGAACTCGTTGTACTGCGAGAAGGCGCTGGGCGAGTGCTCGGAGGGCGGCGAGCCGGACGACGAGCCCGTCGCCAAGGAGGAGGGCGACTCCGGCATCGACGCCAACTCGCAGGTAAAAAAACAAAACAATTCGACTTGTTCTTTACTTTAGCTATAACAGCTAGGGATGTGTACAGTCAGCTGTAAAAATATGTATACACTAGCTTTCGCCAGGTACTCCGTCCGAGTGGAATTTAAAAAAAAAAATGTGTAGCCTATGTGTTCTTCCAGACTATGTTCTAAATCTATGCCAAATTTCATGGAGTTTAGGCTACAAACTCTAACACGCATCCATCCATCCACCTTTGGCATTTATAATATTAGTTAGATTTACAAAAATTTAGAAACTTTTCATTTTCGAAGTCTCGACCACATGCTCCTTTTTGTTAAAGTGAAGTCGTATACAAGTTTGTAATTTTTTAAATGCATACATATTTATGCAGCTGTACATTATTCCTTATGGAAGATTAGGCCTTTAAGCTGAATTTTATATAATGCCATAGTTTAAAATACACAATCTTTGGGGTTATCCCCTGATTTTCGAAGGGAGTAGAGTTAATATATTTTAACAGATTATTAGGACAATGTAATGCAATTATGACTCTCCGCATAGGGTTCCTGTTCTTCATCGGACGTGAAGGCGCCGCCCGCGCCCACCACTAAAACCAAGAAGAAAAAGAAGGAGGACAAGACTGCACCCCCGCCGGCCGCGCCCCCTGCACCCCCTAATAAGAAACAACCAGATAAGGTATACAATTTATTTTAACTTTTAATTTCTAACTATCTTGTCAATTTCGTCCCCTTCGCTCTATAACCAACATCTTGATTTCAAACGCCCATGTTTCTAACCTCTAAGAAATCCATCTTATATGTTTATTCCGTTAGTTTTGCCTATTTGTCATTTTATGTACAGTGTCATGAATAAAAATATGCATGAACTTTCGTTAATAGCATAATTTTAATGTCGACAATATACAGATGGATAACTCTATACATATTTTGGAATCCATAGACCTATCCAACTTTCTAATGTTTTAAATGTATATGCAGCTGACTGTACTGATATTAAGAAAAAATGTCTTACTCCACACTCATGTTATGAATGCGAAAATTTTAATGGGAAAAAATTTGCTAAAGGGATCTCGAATTTGGCATATTAGAGGATAGTCTGGAGGAACAAA